AAAAAAAAAAATACTGAAAGACTACTTAGTCCAATTACCTACATTAAGTATGAACTCCTCTACCAAATCCTTGATAGGAAGTGGCAAAGCCTCTGCTTGAATACACTCATTCCCTCACAAGGTGGCCCATTTTGCTTTTAGAAAGCCAAATTCTCAAAAACAAAAAAAAAAAAAAGAAAGAAAGCCAAATTCTCTCCTACCAAGCCAACGTCTCCCGTCTTGGAATTTCCATCCCTTGATCCTAGTGCTGCTTTCCAGAATCACAGAGAGAAAGTCCAGTTCCCTTTCTACATGACAGTTCTTCAAGTACTTGAAGGCAGGTATCGTGTTCCCCCAGGCTCTTAGCTTTGGTCCTTTCAACTCTTCATGTATCACAGCCCCAAAGGAGACAGGCCCTAGTTGGAATTCTAAACCTTTCCCATATTTGCAGTGTGACCTTAAGCAAGTTATTTAACCTCTCTGTGCTCATATCTTCATATGTATAATAGGGAAAATGATTTTTGCCTCACAGAGCAGTTATGAGTGCTAAATTAGATAAAGTAAAATACTAGCTAGTACACAGCCCAATAGATACCAGGCCCTCAATAAATGTCAGTCACTTTTTAGAATGTATTCTAATTAGTAAATATCTCTCAAAGTTAGCCAAAGTTAGTTTCTGATGGAACTTGCCAAGGGTTGTGCTTTTGAAGCCAAGGAGTTATGTGAGTCTCTCTGCAATGGCAGCCCAAAGATGAAGTGGAATCCAGAAAGGTAAGGATGAAAGAAGAAAGGAATCAGGATCATTCAATCAGTGACCCAAAAGAAAGGTAAGTATCACCATATTACATGTTGTTTATGATCCCTTCTTTGAGACCCAGGACTGCACATGTGGGCCACATTCCCTAATTCAAAAAGGAGAGAAGAAAATATTTAGAAAATAATTTAAAAATTATTGAAGTCATAGTTCTGGGTCTTTGCAGCAGTTGGCCCCTCAAAGTCCAAAGATATTTAGCAGAGGGCTTTAAGATTTTCAGTTGTATCCTTCCAGGTCCTGAAGTCTAGGTATGTGAAAAAACCCTAATATGATGTCCCATGAGTCACTGCTGAGTTCCTTCCAGCTAGAAAATTTGTCAGCTGCATGACAACTCTAAAATCCCCAAGTGGCAAATCGCCAATGTTAATACCATCACCATAATCATTACACGTATTCTCTTTCAGTAACTGCAAGGGAAGGAGTCTCAGGCAAAAATATGAATTGTTGTTCTATTATTCTTCAGAGTTGACCCAAAGCACTGCTTCTACAAATTGACAGGTGGCTTGAACATAAGTGCCCCCAAATAGGTCAAAATACCCCAGTATTAAAGCAGCAGGAACACAAACTATGGCAGAAAAGGTTTTTCCATCTGCCAATGAAACACAACAACCTGCAATGAAGATCCATTGTTAAGTCTCAAGAGTCAGCCCAAACGAGCCTTTCTAGTTACTCCCTGGTCTGTGCTAGAGGATCCAGTTATTATACTCAGCAGACAAGTTTCAATTCCATCCAGAAATAGCCTTAAGTGGTTCCTTCATTTAGTGAAGACACTAGCCACTCAGGAGAGACTGTAAGGTACAGAAAAGCTTCGTTCAGACCACTGGGCATACCTGTGCCCTAGGCAGAGATTTCATAGTGTCTTTGAGTCTGGTGGTGTCTGAATAGTTTCTTCTCAAAACTGTTTAAGGCTTTGTTAAAAGGGAACGCTTAACTGCCACTTTACCCTGATCATCTACCCCATCCTTGGGAAGAATGGGGAAGTTATAGACACCCTATCAGGTTTCTAAACTCAAACTTAAGAGGAAAACTTTAAAGTTGCTCTACCACTACCTCAGAAGTTTTTTTTTTAAAGTCACAGAAGAAAAGGACTTTGAGGAAAATAGTCAAATTAGGCAGTTAGACTTTAATCATTAAGTCCTGATACCTCTTTTCTAGAGACCCTGGTGGTACACCTACAGAGGAGAGTCAGAGGTCACTAAGCAAATTCAATCTGGCTGGCAAGGGGGCGTCCCACTGCAGCTTTCAGTGACAAGAATTGGATCCTGCTGGTCACAGTCTCTCTTCTATTCGACACTTCCTATTTCCCGTTGAAGTGGGTCCTGAATAGCCCGTTCCCAAGTAAAGGCCCTCTGTAAGGGCGTTACAGTCGCATGGTGGAAACACCTTAGCAGAGTTGAGCTTGGTGCCAGGATGGGCCACTGAAGGCATCTGCGGCTGCAAGAAGCCTGGCCACGGAGGGACGGACACACACACACACACACACACACACACACACTCTCTCTCTCTCTCTCTCTCTCACAGAGAAAGAGAGCGGGAGAGCGAGCGAGAGAGAGAGCGCGAGAGCGAGAGCGAGCGAGACAGAGCGAGAGCAGAAGAGCAGGAAACTAAGAGAGCAGGTCAGGTCAACGTAGCCCTCCCGGCATTTCCACCTGCCCCCTTCTTCCTGACACCGGCGCCAGATCAGATGTCAAACAAAAACTCCGCAAAAAAGTCCCGTGATGGGACGACTTCCACCTCTCCCTCGGCAAAGCCTCCCTGGACTCCCAGAGCCTCCCCCACCACCCAGGTCCCGGCCAGCCCTCCATCCCCACCCCGCCCCCGGCCCACTCTGCCCTTCGCCCCAGCGAGGCCTGTCCCCTCTCGGGACACCTCGGAGCCCGGAGGCTGGCGGCCTCAGGCCCCCCGGGCCGGCAGGGCTGCGGCTGGCCCAGAGCGGGCGGCCCGTGTGCGGGGACTGCGGGAACCGGTTCTCGCTTCGGCGCCCGGCGAGGGCAGGGGGCGGTGGCTACCAGTACCTGTCAGGCCTCTTCCCAGGACCAGCGGCGGCGCAACTTCAGGAGCCCATGTCCGTCCAGGGGGCCCGGCCCCTCTCCCGGGAGGGGGGGGCGCGGATCCCGGGGAGGGGGCTGGGGGGCCCGGGCAGCTCTAGCCCCTTCCCATGCTCCCCGCCCGGCGCCTGGCCGGGGCCGGACAGCGCCTCCGCCCGCCCCTGCGCACCGCCTCACACCCGCGCTCACACACACTCACACTCCCTCGCGCGCTCTCACACACGCACTCCCCTCCCTCCTCCTCCTCTGTTTATCTCCTCCAGCTGTCTGGGGACCCAGGAGAAGCCCAGCACCGCGCCTGCGCCACGCAGTCTCCGCCCCCGCCCCGCGCCTCACAGCCGGCGGCTACGCTACGGAGAGAGCGTCCGGCGGTTTCCAGAATGGCTAGCCGGGCCCCTCCCCCGCCCCGCGCGCCCGGTCAACGTCTGCTGCCGGCGGTGCCTACTAACCTGCTAGTGGGGGAGCCCCGCACCGCCGCAACCAATCCGCTTCTGCGCTCGTCGGACCTGCAGCCAGTGGGCAGGCGGGAAAGCCGGGCTAAGCCCCGGGGCATCCTGGGAATCGTAGTTTTTCCCCGTGGAAGAGCTCCTGCCCAGCGGGCTCACCCCGCCCAGTTGCCATTAGTTACCCTGACGCACCTCCCACCCCACATCCAAGGAAAATGCTCCCTCACATTGCTTCTGGGGCACCCCTAACACTCACCCATTGCCCCTCAGAGCCCGACACAAGTCTCCTAAGAGCCTCACCAAGACTTCCTCAGATCCCCTGAATTGGGAGACTTAGGCTGGGGCCCCAATGCCCCCCTCCCATCCCCTAGGGCCGAGCTTCGTCTTACTCTTTCCTGCCCTGGGGTTGTTGCTGAGTGGCACATTCCTCACTCTTGCTCCTGGGCCTGAAGAGGATAAAAGGTAATCAGTCCTACAACCGAGTGGCTTGGAGGGGAGCCAATCACACACTATGGAAACCCTCAGGCTGACCGAAAGAGAGCGAGAGACCGGGTCCTTCTGAGATTAACTGGTGGAGACGAACACCACTGATCCCCCCCTTCTAAGGAAGCTGCAGTTCCAGCCTAGTGGAGTGCCAAGTCTAACTGAGGAGACACCGTCCTCTCTAAGGAAGTTCCCAAGGTGACAAGGGAGGCATCATGCCTAACTTGGGAAGGCAGAGACCAGGCCCCACCCATGAGGCGCCTCAGGTCAGAAAAAGAAATTGTCATCATCTTTTGAGAATGGAAACTTGTCACTCACCCATAGGGTGGGTGTCATTTGTCAGATAATAATAATTCGCTTTTATTTAGTATTTACTATGTCACCACTGTATTGAGTACAATTTCTTAGATACTCTTACTGTGTTTCACGGAAAAGAAAGCTGAGGCACAAAGAGATTAAAACCAACTTGCCCCGGGTCACATAGCTGACAAGGAACCAAACTGGGATTCAAACCTAGATCTGCATTACTACAGAGTCTGAGCTTTTGGACACTGCCTGTCCCTCCCGTGAGAACCAGGCGGCACCTACATACATGTCTAGCATCCATAGTGTTTGTTCCATGTTTGTCACTCCATGAGTTGCTTTTTTCCTGCTTCTGCTCACATCAAGTGTATAAATTAGTCTGTGAGCTCCCAAAGGGTGATTTCTTCCCATTTGGAGGAGTTAGAACCTACTTGTGAATTCAGCTTTGTGAAATGCTTTTCTCCTATAAATGTGGGTCATTCTTCCTGATCTCTCCCCCACAGATGTTCACTGAATATAAAATATCATAAACATTGGGACTAGAAGAAAGCTGAGATTATCTATCCATAGCTCTCCAAGCTCAGGCTGAAACCCTGGCTAGGGTCACTGGTTCAATTAAATTGAAAAATAACTAACATGGGGCACCTGCATGGTTCAGTCTGTTAAGCATCTGCCCAGCGTCAAGCTCCCGGCTGAGCAGGGAGCCTGCTTCTCCCTCTCCAGCTCCACCACCCCCAGCCCCGCTTGTGTTCCCTCTCTCGCTGTCTCTGTCAAATAAATAAGTAAAATCTTAAAAAAAAAAAAGAAAAAAGAAAAATAACATATATGGAGCGTTTACCATGAGAGGTAAGTTCTTATCAGTGAATTAAACAATCCTCACAAATCGCATAGTTAAGAAGTGGCACAGCTGGGATTCAAACCCGGATTATTTGAATCCAGAATTCCCATTTTAAGCCCTTGCTCTACGCTGGCAATGTCACAGAGGCTCTTAAGAAATACCAACAGGGAAGTGTGGGTGATATGTCTGTGGCTCCTAGCAGTCTTTGACACATAGTAGACAGTAAGTAAGTGTTGGCAGAATGAACTTTTGTTGGTAAGGAATGGATGATAGTGATGTGGTTTTGGAACATAGGTGAGGTTTGGTGGGGTGAGGTCCGGAGCCCAGACCAAGAAAGAATTCTTGAGACGTCTTTGGTGCAAAGTGGTGGTTTTATTAAAGCATGGGGAGGGCGCCTGGGTGGCTCAGTTGGTTAAGCGACTGCCTTCGGCTCAGGTCATGATCCTGGAGTCCCGGGATCGAGTCCCGCATCGGGCTCCCTGCTCAGCAGGGAGTCTGCTTCTCCCTCTGACCCTCCCCCCTCTCATGTGCTCTCTCTCATTCTCTCTCTCTCAAATAAATAAATAAAATCTTAAAAAAAAAAAAAAAAAAAAAAAAAAAAAAAAAAAAGCATGGGGAGAGGGCCTCTGGGCAGAAAGAGCTACTACACAGGGGTAGTGAGGAGTGGCTGATTATATACTTGGGAGTTGGGGGAAGTAAGGAAAAAGGAGGTTTCAAAAGAACTTTCATATGCTAAAGAGGACGGACCTACGAGATACCTACGAGATACCCGAGGCCTTGCCATTGTCAAGTTAAGGTTGTTTTCCCCTCTAGCTAGTTATTGACATTAAGATAGTTGAGAGATTCCTGGAAGAAACTCATACCTGTCCCGCCCAGGAGTAGGGGGTGGGGGAAGGTTGCAGGGTGTCAGCTTACGCTTTGTTTTCAGCTAACGTCTGCTCCGTCATCAATAAGATGAAGAATATTAATAATAGCTGAGGAGTACCTGGGTGGCTCAGTTGGTTAAGGATCTGACTTCGGCTCAGGTCATGATCTTGGGGTTCTGGGATTGAGCCCCACGTCGAGCTCCACATCAGGCTCTGCTTGTCCTTGTCCTTCTCCCTCTGACCACCCCCCCCACTCATTAAATAATAGCTGCAGCTAGGGCGCCTGGGTGGCTCAGTCGTTAAGCGTCTGCCTTCGGCTCAGGTCATGATCCCAGGGTCCTGGGATCGAGTCCCACATCGGGCT